ATGGGATTCTGTTTAGAGCAAATGCTATTTAGGAGCAGGATATATGCAGTGCTTTTCACACTAGCCACACAATTAAAGAATTTCCAATATCATGGTTAAAGGAACAGTAGAGCTACTTCTCCTTACCTCAAAAATATATACTGAATATAAAGCAGAACTGACCCTCTAGGACCACAGAGAACGTATTCTAATCAAGTCCTGCATACCACATTTGTGTGCATGTATGAAGAACCTTATGGCTAAACAAATCCATATCATTTAACATCATTAATAGCAACTTGCAACTTGTTTTTAAGTCTGCAACCTGAAGTTGGATGCCTCCCATAAAACGCTATAGTCAGCATTTACAAACTCAAGCTATGTCTATATTATTTATGTTATTTATAGTGCACCTTTCTCACTTGGACTCAAGGTGGTTTACAGGGTAGGTAAATTCAACAAGACGGGACATTCAATAAACTATGAAATAGGATTTGAGTTGTACAACCAACCAGAAGACTAGAAACAGAACTGAAGCAGAGCGTATTACCCTGACACACTAAATTATGCAAAATTACATAATAGGATCCAACCCACAGCAAGCTATACACTGTTGTACAGACCACAGTCCTGACTCCTGACTAATTTATCCAAGTCGGGAAAAGATGGTCCATGCTTTTCAGCTAGTGGTCACAACCACCACCCCCGGCCCACACCCTCGTGAGCAAGGAATACAACACTTCAGACACACTATGTACGATTTCCTCCCCACAGATGCTCCATTTTCAATTAATATCCCCACAAGATAATTTTCCCCTTCCCACTAGACCTGTTATGATGAAAATGCTTCCACATGCTTCCTAGAAGATTTTAGTTGAATTCTCAGAAGGAAATGTAATTTGTATCCACCCTTCACTCAGGCCATTTGCAGACTAAGGCGAAGGGGTGGGGAGGAAAAAACAAAATTATAGCAGAATCTAGTTTTCAGTTTCACATTAAAGTGTTTTAATCTGTAATTAACAAGCCATTTGATCATCACAATTGGTGCTTTCACAACTAACACAGTGACTCATGGATCACGGTACACTGCTCCTTTGCCTAACCATTAGGCTGGGATACAAGATGGCAAAGGTCCCAAACTGGAACAGGTATTAAAGGCAGACAGCATGTTAAATCGTTACAGCTGAGCAAGGAAGCGATGTTTGTTTTGTCAGCTAGAGATTTAGGATGAAGCTGACCACCACCAGCAGCTTCTAATAATTTTGGACAGCAACCTTTGAAATAAATGATCTTTCACAAGCCTAAATGTCCATTCAAGTCATTGCTTTTCAAGCTTCAGCCATACGTGTGGCTGGAATGAGTCTTCTGACCATCATCTAAGAATTAGGCAATGCCGATCTATTCTGTACAAACATGCAGCCGCTTCAAATTCAAGGCAGTCTGCAAACACAGCTATAAAAGATTATAGTTTTTACATCCATGAGAATTAAAGGCCACTCTACTTTCTTGCAATACTTAATACTGCTAAAAATTACAAGCAACTCAGCCATCAGATGTCCCCAAATCCCTAATGGCAACTGAATGTCTTTTCCCCGGTCAATGCACTTAGTATCTGTAACATTACTGCAATAGCCAAGACATGAAACTTCCAGTGGCAATATTCTCTGGAAATTTTGAAGCCATCAAAACAGTTTTCTCCATTAAAAAAATGACAGCTGGGAAAAACCGAAATTTTAGGATTAGGAACAGCCTTTTCAAAATGGGCAACTATAACGGACAATCACAGAAACAAGTATATAAAACAATTAAGGTACTAGAGCATCTTCCTTGAGAGAAAAGGCTAAAATGTTTGGAGAATTTTCATTTTAAAGAGAAGCAACTGAGGAGATGGGAGGAATATGCTTGAAACATGCATACAATTATGAATGGTATCCAGAGGAAAATATTTTTTTCTCCCTGATTCATAATACTAGAACTCAGTGCCACTTACTTAAATTGGCTAAGAGTACATTCAGGACAAAGGAAGTACTTTTTCACACTATGCATAATTAGCTTACAGAATCCATAGCCACAAAATATAGTGATAGCTTTAAAAGGGGATTAGACAAATGCATGGAGGATAGGTCTATCAATAGCTATTAGCCTGGATAGCTAAATGGAACTTCCAAACCTCTACACATCATTGGGAGGAGGGAAAGCAATGGAGAAATGGGTATTGGCCTCTATTTCTTACTTGTACCTTGCTCGCCAGGGATAGCAACAGGATACTGCATGGACCCCTGGTCCAATCCAGCCAGGTTTTCTTAGTGAGAATAAAGGATTCTAGAATTAAATGCTACAATCCTGCACACGGAGAGGTCATTTAAATCCTGTTGATGTCAATGGGATTTAACAGAAATATTACACAAGGTTTTAAAAACCTTCATTTGTAAATTTACTAACAACCCATTCTTACATTTACAAAATAACTCCTATTCTATTCAACAAGACTCACTCATGGGTAATTGTATATATGACCGCATCCCTCACGCTTAAGACTTGCATACAGTATTGATCCAAATAACTTACAACAGAGCTATTATGCTCATTATGTAAATCAATGTAAACACACACTAAAATGTGGATTTGTTTCAGCAACAGACAGCATCAGATTCTTTGGCACTGCTGTATGTGAGGTCATTCCTTATTTGTCCACTCTTGGGTGTTTTCATCATGTGAACATGGCTAGCATACAAGTACACAAGCACATTAGGGGTCAAAATTCTGTGTGTGTTCAAGTCTGCATAGACAAGACATCCACTCCAAAACAGAATGCAAGTCACCTCTATTGTAATGCTTAACATTCTTCCAGTCTGTGTGCTATTCAACCTCACGGCCCTTCTTCCAGAATCCAGATTTCACCCCCACCCACACAGAGAACAGAAGGACTAGAGCAACAAAGGTAGTCACAGAGAGACTGGAAAGCAGCTTCTGACCCCACTAGGCTGGTTGATGTTTCCATCCGTTGCTGGCAGCTTCTCTGGACAATCCTCTCCCCCCCACCCCAAACTGCAGGGATTGTGAAGAATACAAGACTGGTAGATTTTTGGCAGTTGCTGATACCAGGAATGTGTAGTTATCCCCATTTGCAAGAAGCAGCTGTGCCAAGCCCACAGTTTTGGTTCAGCCCTTCACCCCATCTGCCCTGCCCCCACCTTACAGCAATAACATCCATTAACTAGACAGCATATGCAAAAAGAGATAATTTTACTATTTTATCTACTGTCCAGGAAAATGCTGGATGAGATTAACTTTGAAGTTAGTCCTCACATAATCCCAGCAGGGCATTCTTCCCACCAAATGTGCTTAGAATTAGCATGTAAGCCTCTGCTGTTATACATGTTTACTTAAAAAGCAGGTTTTACAGAGTTTGACAGAACTTAATCCCAGTACCTGTGCTTATGATAACAGTCCTATATCCTTTGCCTAACTATGTAAACACCGTGGAATTTACTTCCAAATCAACATGCACACTTCCTACGCAGAAATTCCCACCGTACTGGCTAGGACTGACAACTAAGAAAATGTGCATAGGAGAACAGCCTGAAAGGGACCCCTTCAGCATCTAGGAAATGTAGGAATGGATGGGCAGAAGAGGGTGGTACCATTGTTTAACAAATTATATAATTTATCCAGCGTGTCCAGAGTCTAGAGCACTTCCCCCACACAGGGTCATATCCTAGCTTGGGCTGGAGAAGCCTTCTTCCATCATTAATGGCTCTTCCATTGGAGGAACAACCCCTTAAATTGAAGGAAGGCTCCAAGCTTTGTGCAGTAGAATGGTAGAAGATAGACTCAGGAACTCTACAAAAGCCTCACACTGCAAATTGGGGGCAGTAGGATGCTCCGTGTGGCTTACCTAAAACCATGTGGGTGAAGAGGGTCTGTGATAGAGGCGATATTTGAACCACCTCATAGTTCAAACTCAGCCATCAAGTTACACCAGCTCAATTAGAAAAAGTCTACCCAGCAACTTCCCCCCAATCTCTCCCTCCCAAAAACTCAGGGGCAGCATACCCCACCCCAAATGTTTTACCTAACAACTCTGTGCAGGAGGTTAAAACCAGCATGAGTGGTTCAAGTTCACCCGGCACGTTCCGTGGCAGAGTGGGACTTGAACCCTTGTCTCCTAGATCCTATTAGTCCGACACCTGGCATCACACCAGCTCTTATCTGTATCTTATTACTCTCCTTTGGAGAAGGGCGAGCAAGAGGGCCGCCTGAGGCACATTCTTTGAGGACCATCCATGCTCATTAAATGCAAGCCCCTTTCTGCCTCGCAGACCTGGAGGAAAACCGCGGGGAGGGGGAGGCATCGAGAGAAAGCTGCAGGGAAGGGGAAAAGGAAAATAAAACGGGCGTCCAGGGCCACAAGAAAAGGCGTCAATCCCACCACATGCTTCCCCCAGTCAGAGCTTTGCTCCCTCAGAAGCACGGAATAAGTTGCTAGTGTGCTTTTTTCTTTTAAAGGTGCTCCTAGACTTCTGTTCAACGCTGCTGCTGCAAACCAACTTGGCTCCCCACCAACCTTCCCTCTAAGCTATGGAGCCCTGTGAGCAAAAATCCTACTTTGCGAGCTACTGGCACTAAAGTTGTGAGCAGGAGATTTGGCTGCTGCATAAATTAGTTTGCACTGGAGTCATCTGTCCTGAGCGGAGACAAAAATGAGTGAGCCAGAGGCTAAAAAACTGTGAGCTAGCTCGCACTAACTCAGCCTAGAGGGAACACTGCTCCCCACCTGGAAGCACCCCCGTGGAAAGCAGCACTTTGG